ATACAGATGCATACATTTCTCAACTGGGAGATGTTGAGTGTAAGCAAGTTTGAGGCTGGAGTGACAGTCATGCACTGCTGACTTGGTGGTCAAATGTGGGTGAGCAACCTTCTGTGCTTCTAGTTGCAAAGATGGGTGAGCCTCCTGCTTCCCTTTCCCGGAGACTGCTGCCTTCCTCAGTACAGCCAATAGCTTCCTTGGTTGGTAGGTTGGTTGGTTGGTTGACGGAACTCCTGCTTGGCAGACAGAAAGTTCCACAAGTAAGGTAGCAGTGGGAGGACACCCTTTTCTTTTTCTTTTTTCTTTGAGACACAAAATGCTACTGCCAGCCTAAGCTAGCAAAACTGGGCTTGGATGGAGCTGGCCTAAGATAAATTTCCATATGGTCATTTCAGAGTTCACAAAGCTGGCCCACCTCATATTGGTCTTTGTTTTGGAGGCTCTCCTCTGAGGCTTTCGTGCTTGTTGGTACATCATGGTGCATCCAAAAGACCTAGTCTGGAGTTGAAGTAAGCAGTTTAACAGTTTTAACAGGTGGCAACATTTGCTGATCTTGCGTCATCAAGAAAAAGCTAAGTAGACTCAGCCCTGGTTAGAACTCGGGTGGGAGATTACCAGGAACTTCTGGGTTTGTAGGCTAGATTGAGAAATCAAAAAAGTCTCAGGAGACAGGGAGAATCCATTTCTATTTCACTGCCAAGAAACTACATGGATGTGTCCATGTAGACAGCAGAAGCTCAGCTTGAGCAGAAAGGAGCTTAAGTACAGGATCCCCTTCCCATTTTCTGTGGACATCCACTCCCAGTTGTGCAAGGAGACCCCCACCCTCTGTGAAATGCATCAGTTCCCTGTGTTTTGGAACAACAGGTAGAAGTGATAGTGCTAGAGCACATGGCTGGTATTTACCTCTGAGCAGAGATTTTTCTGCTGGATGGGAGGGAGGGAGAGAGGAAGGAAGATAACCAGAAAGATGGAAAGATGGATGGAGGAGGGATGGAGGGAGGGAAGGAGGGAAGCTGTAGGGATAGGCTGGGTTTTGAATTCTCAGCATGAGAATTCTTCTGGTCTTTCTGCCTCCAAGACAGGCCTGATAATTAAAATTAGTCATCTCTTTAAAACTGAATAGGCAGTGATTTAAACTATAACCTCCAGAATTTCTGAATCATTTCTTATACCTGTGAATGTTGAGTGTTTTGTAAAATGTGTAGTTGTTATGTTCCAAAATGGGAAAATACTTAGTTTGGGATCCTCTGCTTTTTATGTGTTCTTTGAAAAATAGATAATTTAGCCATAACCAATTATTTCTAGTGCATCACCCATGTAAATAAGTAACTTGGGTTCCCAGAGAGTTACAAACTGAGCCCAGTTTTTAAAATCTTCCCCTCTGTCGTCTTTCCCTTATGACTCTTCTCCCTTCATTTCAACATGTGAAGCCTTCCAAAATGAAAAGTGAATTGATTGCATTATTCCCAGCCTCCTTTATGAAAAGTTGCCATTGCAAAGCCAGATGTGAAGTGTGGTGTTTGCAGATTACAGTCTGGGCTCGGGGTGACTTTTGCCCCTCCTCTTCCTCCTCCTTCTCAGTGTTGTCTCCCCAAGGAGCCAAAAATCTGCCTTCTCTCTAGCAGGAGGGAGATGAAGCTTCACAATTGCCTTCTGTAGCCCTGCTGCAGGACACACAGCTTGGAGCAGAGATAATGCTGCTTGCTTCGAAAGGGAGCTTATGGGGGAATTTTTAATTACAAATGGGTATGTGGGACCAGGTTGCCTAGGAGATGGGCAGTGTGCTGCTGAGCATTTTACTACTAGCAGTAGACAGCGATTAAAAGTTTATTGCTACCTGATGCCTGATTGGTGATATTTTGCAGAACGAGGAGCTGTTTGCTCTCACAAAACTGCTGCAGCGGGCAGGGGGCAATTGACTAGACAAAAAGAAGTGTGTGTTTTGGGAGAGTAAAGGGAAGAGAAAACCAGTCTGCTTTGTTCTTTGAGAACAGAAACAGCTTTCCAGAAAGTCCTTCTAGATTGTATAGATTGGCCTGTGGAGAACTGGCTGGAAGGAGAGGTGATTGTTGGGTCCCCTGTAGTCGAGCTGGGCCGGGTCCCCCAGTATTGGGGGCGGGCTGCAGGAGAGATGCCCCATAAGCGCTCATGGGAGGAAGCCAGAAATGGTCTAGCAAAGATGCATCTCTGCCACCTCAAGAGAGAGCCGAAGTTTGCAGAAGGGCCTTTAGAAAGAGAGGAGGACTGTGCCCTCCCACCCGGAAAGCAGCTTAGAGAACCGAATGGGCTGAGCAAAAAGTGGTGGCCTTTTTAAAAAAAAACAGAAAACAGGTAGAAGGAGCAGAAATGGGATGTCCTGAAAGGGAGCACCCCAGGTTGCCCAGAATCCTGATCAGCCCCTCCCCAATTCTTAATGGCAAGTGGGGTCTTCCTCCAGCAGATCCTCTCTCCTCCTGGCCATTGACTGCCTTCCTTCTTCAAGGCGCTGCCTTTTGACACCCCCCGCCCAAGCTAGTGGCCATTGCTGCATCTGGCAACAGTGAATGCCTTATCTTGATCCCCCTCCCCATATACGTGCCCATTTCAGAAGTACAGACTTTGGCCTTTTGGGGTGCTGGGGGAGAGAATTCTGTGCCTTGCTACGGATGAACTGTTTGCAAGCAGGGCTTAATCTCTTTCTTTTTTTCTGACACTGCTGTTCAGTCTTAAGGCTGGTAGTGTTGGGGGGGGGGATGTTGCTGGTGCGTGTGCATACACTATAACTCAGGGAATGCAGTGTGACCAATGTCATCTGGCAGTGTAAAACCAGGAGGGGGCACCAATTAAGAGCTTCCCACTGTGTTTTTTTTCCTCGCTCTGATTAAAAATTGTTTATTCAGATTTCTGATTTTTGTTAAGCAGATGGATTAATAAAATGACTCATTTATGCAGATAGAACTAGCAGAAGTGATGCGTGTTTTTCCGGCTTAACACCCCCTCTTCTCTGCCAAGAGGAAACTTCCTAGTATTCCTTAAGTATCTTGATTCAGGTAATTATTTAATTGCAAATATAAACTAGCAGTGCAAACCCTTTGCATTTTTAACCAGTGCCAGGCGGTGGTGATGGTGGGAGTGGGAATATGCCTTTATGGCAGTGCTTCTTGAAAAATTAAATTTTATTGCTTTTTCTGCGTGCTGGCACTGGCGATCGTAGAGGGAACAGCTGCGGTGTTTACAACTAAGTCCCACTAGCCAGATTAGCGTTTTTTTTAACTTTTGGCTTCCTTTTTGCAGAGCATGTGGATGTCCACAAAAATGTGCAGGGTGAACTGTCCTCTGAAGCAAAGGGGAGTCTGATGGGGAGCATCTTTGGCAAACAAGCCAGGTCCCCTTGCATAGCTTATGTGGGTTTTAGTGGGGAGTCCTTGCTTGGTCCCCACAACGGGGTGAGACATTCACTGCCCTTGGCAGCCGCTGTTAAATTGTAAGAAAGAGGAACCTCTACTTCCACTCCTCAGCCTCATCGTCCCAGGGCTTTTTCTGATGGCCACTCTCTGTTATTGATGTTGTTTTTTAAATGGTGGTTGTTTTATCCTGTTTTTATTTTGCTTTTAATTGTTAACTGCCCAGAGTCACGTGTATGGGATGGGCAGCCATATAAATTTAATTAATAAATAAATAAACTGTAGCATTGCTGGGTTGGGGGGCAGTGTTGTGTCCCTTGGCTGAGGGGTGGAAAACGTAGTGCTTGCCCCCGTGGGGGTTGAACCCGTGCCCGTCCGGATTCTTGGGAATCGTTAGAAAGAACTCAGGGCTGCTGGGGCTTGGGGAGGGGGGTTGGATCAGGAGGGGCGGCTTTTCCCTTCTCCAGGAGCTCCTCACCAAGACTGCCTGCTAATAGAGAGGTGAAAATTGAAGCTCCGAAGATACACATTTTATAATCAGCCGGATTTATTCCTTCAGAGAATTTATTACAACCTTTTTATTTTCACGCACGGCAAATGTAATCTTATCTGCTGCACCGGCTGGCCTAGCTCAGCTTGCTGGATCTGTTTTGCAGCAGAAAGCTATCAAACGCCAGCCTTCCAGGGCATGCCGTGTCTATGTGTTAAAGTTGCTTGAACACATTAAAGCAGCTAAAATGTACATTAAAATATGGCATTTGGAGAATAGGATATCTATGCAATTAGCCATCTGATGCTTTCAGCAGCTGCTTGTAAGTTAGATCCGGTGCCTCAGCGAAAGGGTACCTTGGAGATTTTGTAAAAGAAAGGAGAGCAGGCAAGCTGGCTGCAGAGAAAGCCTTGATTAGAAAAAAGGCGCAGGCTTCAGGCTTTGGAGGCTGGTGGGTTGGTGTGCTCTGGGTGAGCGGTTCCCCACAAATGCTTGCCTCCCTCTGCTCTCTCCCCACCCCCACCCCTGCTCAGGCAAAGCATCCAAGGGAGTCCAGCTACCACCCTTGCAGGCCTGGGAACAAAATCCTCCTCAGATAACTTCACGGTTCTCTCTCTCTCTGTGTTTTACTAAGCCAGCAATGTTGTTGTGAAGCATCACAAGAGGGAGGCGCCCGCTGCCAGGGAGCTGTGCTCTAGATAAGCTCGGGAAGCGCTAAGCACGTGCCAGAATCCAAGCAGAGGCCGCAAGGGATTCGAAGCCCATCCAACTTTTTCATTGATGCAGGCTGGAACGAAACACTCTCTCTCCTACCTGGCCATACCCTCTCGGTGCTGCTGGCGCCTTTGGCCCAGATTTTCAGCAGGAGATGCGAAAGAGCCATGTTGCCTTGCTCACCTCCCCCTTGGTAGGCAGCCATTAGGCAGGAATGAAGCTCTGAGGAGTGAAACCAGAGCCCGAACCCAGCTATCACGCTAAGAGCTGGGCCAGAGATCTGCTGGGGGTCCATCTCTGTTGCCAGAAAGGTGGTCTTTTTTCTACTGTTCTGTCTCCTAATTTTTCCGGGCCCCATGACAGAAGGCAGATGTCTAGGGGTTTGCAGAAAGCTGCCCGCCTTGGCCGGCCAAGGTCTTCAGGGTCCTTATGTGTCCAGTACCTGTCTTTGGGGGATGGGATCTGAAAGCCCATGGGGCTGGTAGAGTAGATGACTCTTCTGTTTTCCCAGGTGACTCCCGGCTTGGATGCCAAAGAAGGGGAGCTCTTTGTGAAGGGACCCGCTGTGTTTCAGGAATACTGGAACAGACCTGCGGAAACCAAGGAGGCCTTTACTCCTGATGGCTGGTTCAAGACAGGTACTTTGCTGGGGGTGGGTAATTGCCACCTGGCTGGAAGGGATGGAAGCCTCTCTAGTTAAAAGGTGATGGGAAGCCCCTTCTCTGTCTTGAGACGCTGGTGATCCACTGCTCCAGACAATATTGAATCAGATGTGCTATTGGGCCGACCCCGTGTATTTATAGGGCTGCCGAGTGGAGCATGGCCGCCGGAGCAGCAGCCCCACATGTTGGTTTGCGGCTCGAGGTTGTGGGAACAGGCTGGATCTGGTGCCGGATTTGCAGTTGGCTGCAACTTGGGAACTACGGTACTGAGCTGTGGCTTGCAATTCTGATAAATGGTTGTGTCACTGGTGTCTCTAGTATGCAAATAACACTTGACCCCTTTTAACCAATTTAGTCTTTCAGTGATTCTGTCACAACAGTATAATTCCTACTCATTGTACACTTAAAGCATGGGCCCTACTGAGTGCCTCATTTATTCTGGTCCTATCCATCAAATGGTAATTGTTCGTGCACTAAGAAGGTTGAGCCCGTAGAAGGGTTGCCTCTTGTGCACGCCTCATTATACACCGTTCCCAGCATCTTTCTCATGACACTAAGAACTCACGGGTTACCCAAGGAGCCTGAATCGAGGGCGATTCAGTACAGAGAAGCTGCGAAAGTTGCTGCCACAGAATGCAGCGATGGTGACTTAGCTTTAAAAAGCAGGAGGCAAAGTCAGGAAAGAGGGGAAGGCTGTAGGTGCTGCACAGTAGTTAGGACTACGACGGGGGCCTCTTGGCGCCTGCTGCACGGTATGCTTCTCACAGGCTTCTGAGTGGGCGGCCGCCATAGGAGAGCCATGCAGCTCCAGAGAGCCCTTGGCCCTGACCCCACCAGCTGTTCTTGTGTCTGCCCCCCCGGAAGAATGTGAGCCCTGAAAAAGAAGCATTGATCTGATAGCTGCAGCAACGGGGCCTGGAATGCGGCGAGACCTGTCAGAACTGGGTTTGGCCGCCTAAGCCTGTTGACCCCGAGGTGCCTGTTTGCCTTCTTCCCATCCATGGTGGGCTGTTTGAATTAGCAAGCTGGTACGCAAGGGACACGTGTCCTCCCTTTGTTCAGCCTGGGTGTCATTAATCTTGTGAGTGGCAAAACTCACTTGGGTGTCTGATTAATCCCATTCCTGTCGATCAGCCTCTTCCCGTCTCCGCCGGTGCCTGCCTGCGTAGAGTGGTGCTTCCTGTCAGCATGGCCTCTGCTTTAATGGTAGCAGCTGGACCAAGGAGCACGCACCAGGAAGGGGGCTGATGGACTACGTTTCCAGTTCAAACTTGCCTCTGCAATAACCGGCTTCTGGGCCTTCCCAGAGCCGCCATTCTCCCCATTCATCTGCAGTATGGGAATAAGGATACTGATCGGACTGTGAGGTTTGTAAAACAGTGTGCGGGAACTTTATGAAACACTTAATCGCCACATGTTGTTTTGCCTCAGTACTAGCAAGCTGGCTTGCCAGTGGTATCTCTGGTGCCTTTTTACTTGGATTTAACCATTTTAATATCAGTAGTAGTAGTAGTAATAACTTAACGATAGCTGGAGCTAAGCAGGTTTTGCTGCAGCGCAAGTGGTGTCGTTCTGCAGCTCATCGGTGGCGGCAGGCAACTCAGAGTTACAGGCAATCCCATTTTTTAAAAAAATGTATTTTTCAAGGTTGATCCTTCTGATAAATATTTCAGATGCAAAGGAATAGCATGCATTAATTATTGTAAAGAGATGTCTTTAGGAGAAAATGATTTTGAAATTCAGTTTAATTTCATTGTAATGTGCCACAAACAGGAAAGGAGTATATGTGTTTAATTGGCTCTCGGGGGTACGGCCTGGAAGATGGCATGCCTTTGTCACAGACCATTAGTGATACAGGCTGCATAATGAGAAACTACAATCAGCTCACAGCTGCTGGCTCCTACGGGGAGAGAAGGATATTAAATGGAAATCAGTATAAATTAAACTTAACCCTTTCGTCGGCCAGATCCAACTTCTGAGTTAGACATGAGGGTGGGAGAGGGAACAAAAAGCGAATCCTCCTCTAGATTGGGAGCAAGTTGGCCCAGATTTTCCCCATTCCTAAATGCAACACAGCGCGGGGAAGAGAGGGAAACGGCATTTTGATTGCTCTCCTCCAGTCCCCTCCCTATTACCACCCTCCAACGTTTTTCTTCCTCTGTTTTTTTGGATCCTCTGAAAATATTTGGTAACCAGCACTCTTTCAGGAGTGATGCTGCTTGATCTCATAGCGAAATGTGCATCTCAGGGTGCAGTTATCTCTTCAGAGTTATGCCTCCTCTGCGCACACATCCGTTGTGTGGGAACACTCTCTTTCTTTCTTCCTCCCACCCTTCCCTTCCCCTCCCTCGTCTCCGAGACAAGGTCGCTTCTGCAAAACGTAGGGCTGCCAGATTGTCCAGTCTCACAAGGCGTGGCAGTTGATATCTGCTGTCCTGAAACTCAGCCCACATTCAATAACGACAGAAGCTTCACAGACCCAACCCAGCTAGATATGTTGCTTATTGCAGGTAAGAAGAAATATATACTGGAAGATATGATCGAAATATGATTGATAGATAAGCTTTTCCTCCCAGCACGTTAATGGACTTGGGGTGTTCTTTCTTCAGCCTTCAGCATCAGAGTTGCCTGCTCCACGTTTACAGAACGGTGCTGCATGCCCTGAGAATCAGAGTCCTGCTTTGGCAGCTTCAGCCCCTACACAGATCTGGGTTGCAACTACCAGCATAGCCTCTAGATGGCAGAAAGGAAATAGAGAACATTCTGACTTGTCCCTGCCATCTGGTGGCCCCTGTGACCTTTGCAGCCCAGTCCTGGGAGTTCTACAAATTGAGTAGGATTGCTCTTTAGCTACGTTCATGATTGTACCAGGCACCCTTCATAGCAACGGAGGCTAAGACCTTTTCTCTCATTTTTTAAAAAATCCTTAGTGAGATTCTCTAGAGAATTTTGTACTTGCTGTGTGCAGTCAGGTGTCCTAGGGAAATTCCTACTCCTGAGTGTATTTTTATGAGTAGCAGCCAAATGATGCTACTAAGTAAGTTTCAAAGGCTGCATTTGAATGAGTTAAACAGAGTTAATTGCCGTCATAGCATTCCTGAAGAATGCAAATGATAGTAGCTGTAGCAAAGGGATTTATTGGATGCCCTACTAAGGAGCTCTGCTGAGGCTGGAGAAAAGGATCTTGAAATCTCTTGCTGCCCCAGCGGTCGAATGTGGTGTGTGTGTGTGTCATTGCACCCCTGGACCTAGACTGGTTGGATGTGCCCCCTCTTCTGAGGGAGAGTTTGGAAAGTAACCAAGCGAACCGTACCCGGTGCTGCTTTGTGTTGGCAAGAGCCAGTCCAGGGGACCCTGTTCAGCCTGACCCCCTTCTCAGTCCAAACCCAGCCTTGTGCTCTCCCTGACATTCCTTGGGCAGAGGCCCCACGTGGCAAAGCTGGGGACAAGGTTCTCGAAGAGCATATCAAAGCAGACCCTCAGCTGGGTGGGAGTACAGTTGGAGCAAAGTGGACTTGGCGGTGGCTCATCACACTGTCTTTAACAACTTGTGCCACAATTCAGCGTTCCTCTGATTGCTAATGACAGCCAGCCGACGGAGGAGAATTGCCGCTAGCAAAGGCACTGATGATGCTGTGGCTTGAGCAATGCCCAGGGAGGCTCTGAAGTTCTGGGCAGGTCAGCCGGTCTAGTGCTGGTGAAAGAGAAGGAGGGGAGACCCTTTCAGCAGCTGCCTTTGCGCGTAGAGGTGTATGGAAGGGAATCACGGAGCGGCCAGGGCCTCGCTTCGCAACGATGGGGCTTTTGCTTCAGGTTGGCCCTTTCAGACCTTTGATTCTGCATCTTGGCATGTTAGCAAGCTTTTCTGGGGAATGACGACCAAACAGAGTTGTCTCCCTGTGGCTGCAAAGTCGTAGGCTGGGATATTCATTAATACCCTCCCTGTTCAGTAGAACAGTTGGCAAAGTTGGCGTTTCTGATGAATGTGCAAGGTCCTTCTGTGATGGTGAATCCCACACATCACCCTGGTATCAAATCTCAAATTGCAGTAAAATAAGGGCATACCTTATCACCGTGGTGTTCCACCAGCAGAAATCACCCACGTGCCTGCAGAGCAGATCGTCCCAGGTTACTCAGGCAAGTAAGCCAAGCCACAAACAGCAGCTTTTGTGGGTAGTTTTCTTGACATGTTCCCTAAATAGCAGATCTGCTAAGAAACTGTGTGAAAAACAACAGTCCTTGCAGAGTGGCCTCGCGTCCATCACTGTTGCTTTTGTATTCTTTCAAGATTGGGGGGGGTGGATGTGATCCACCCGGGTTCTTTCCTGCTTCAGCCCAATGAATTCTGGAGCTTAAAACATTTCTGCTCGTTCAACCCGAAGGTGGGCTTCCGGGAATGCATCCACGGAGCCTCCCTGCTGGGCAAAGAATTTCTCACCAAGGAAACTCTGGCTAAGTGGCCAGGAGAAGCAAGATCCCATAGCTGCAGTTCCCCCGAGGGGAGGCCGGCTCCATTCACGCTTGCTAACACATTCAGGGGACTAGGACCTGGAAGTATTTGGAGAGATTTATTTTCAATTACAGGTTGAAGCAGAGGCCTGAAATAGTGCCGGCTCTGAAAGTGGAGCATAAATCCTCTGAGCAAATCCATGTATATCAGCTCCATATAATAAGATTTTATTGATTGCTATATTGTATCTGTCAGAATAAAACTCCCTTAATGCCTGCGTTAGGGCTGGGAAGATCAAAGGCTCCTTTGGCAACAGAATCTGATTCAGGAATCAATGTGGTTTGATTAATACGTCATTAAGAAAGTAAGAGTTATTTAACTTCTTTGACGGGGACTTTAAAAGGCTCATTTCTGTGAAGCTTCCCCTGTTTTCAAATGCAGCAAAACGTGAAGGCTGCCAGCGTTGCACTTTTTAGGCAACCAAATTCTGCTTTTTAGCATTCGGAGCTTTTCTTAGACTCAGACC